GGGGGGAGCAGAATATGTTATTTTAAGATTTCAATTCTGAAGTTTTAAGATGAGATTGAGTTCTATTTGTTTGTGTAAGCTATATATTTTTAGATTATACTTGGAATTTTGGTCGCGAATGCATTCAATTACTTTTGCTTCTCCTTGTGCAAGAGTTGAAAGTTGAAAGTTTAAAGTTTAAACTCTTGGTTCAATTCTAACTTAAGGACTATTGATGATTACGGTATTACACATTTGTAACTTGTGAGATGAAGTGATGAGTTTCAAGAGACATGTCACATGGCATTAAAATAACCAAAACTTCTGTATAAATTTAATGATATGGACATCTCACCTACCTAGATAGTGATTTCAGTACTATAAATGGTCATTCTAACTTGAAATAATATATCAATTCATCGAGCCCATATTTGTACACTCTGTTGAGATAATAAAACATGCCACCTCCTTGTTGGATGTTTGTTTTTAAAGTAATTTTGTTGTTATTACATAGGCAGATGGAGAGGGGAAAAAAAATGAAGAGGAAGTATCTTCTGGAAAATCAAACATCAATCTGAGGGTAGATTTGAGGAGCCCGCCAAAGTGAGTTGCTATTATTTCCTAACTTGTTTCTTCTGAATAATATCATAATAATTATGTGGAGGGGAGGACCATACAATTTACTCATTTGTCGCCATCTCATGTTGTCTACATACAAACAGGAGACAGTTCTTTGTGATGGATTTAGAGGAAGAGGAACATGACATGTATGGGCCTAGAATAGGACGTAAGTATCAAGTATGGGCCTCCAGATATCTATGCTAAATGATCCGGGGGATTTTGGCATGTTGTGACAACCTACCAACATATATATAGTAATTTAATATTTATTGTTGTATCTATATCAATATATATTACGATAAAAGTAATAGTATTGTTTGTAAATCGTAGTGTATAACACATTGAATATTCACATATCAACATGTATATTAAAGTTTTATTTTTCTACTTTTTATATATATATATATATATATATATATATATATATATATATATATATATATATATATATATATATATATATATATAGAGAGAGAGAGAGAGAGAGAGAGAGAGTGTGAGTGAGAGAGGGATAGAGATGTTTAATATTTATTGTTGCCTCTATATCAATGTATACAATAAAAATAATTATATTATTTGTATATCATAGTGTATAACACATCGAATATGTATATACCAAAATGGATATCATAAGTTTATTTTTCTTCTTTGTCTATAATAAATAATTTATTTTCTTTCTTTGTATATCAAAATTTTACTTACTCCCATAATTATATTTATTAATTTGTATTTTAGAACTTGCTCTAAACCTATCATATTAAATATATATTTTTCTTCCTTGATCAATTACAAAATTGAAGTAAGTTTATTCAGAATGAATTTCGTCCTCTTAAAATTAATTGGACAATTTAATTCCGATTTAACCTTATATTGCCAAACCTAATAATGTATATCAAGATATACAATATGATATACACACGAATATGTATGGTGATATACATAGATATACACCACCTCAAATACATATGTTTTCTTTTTTTTTTTTACTATAAAAAAAGAAGAGAGAAAGAAGAAAAAAAACCGAATTCTACCAAGAGATATGAATCAAATCAAACAAAGTAACAATTGGATGAAGATAGGAAAAAAACTATGTTGATTTATGAAAGCGACCACCTTTAGGTTTTTACGGAATCGCCATCGTGATGAGAAAATTCTAACTTCATAAAAAATATTTTCAATCATTACAACTTCCAAACATTATCAAAGAGCACTTGCCCTTCCAGTTTCAGATCGAAGAGAAAATAAAGCATTGAAGAAGAAGAAGGAACAAAGGAAAAACTAAAGAAGAAATTGGAGACGAAGCAGGGAGAGAGAAGATACGAAGAGAGAGAATCAATAAGTAATTAAGATATTTTAGGATTTGGCTATATAATGTCAATTTTGGACTAACTTTGCCAAACTTAATACAAGGCTAAAAATTTACCAATTCTCTTTATACATTGTTGGTAGTAATCTGTATTTGTAAAACAATTCTGGAGAAAATAAAATAACATAAACAGAAATGTAAACGAAATAACGAAAAACCAATTCGAGCCTACTGAATTCACAGTGTTTCCTTAAGGAATTTAATCCCCTACTAGTACCCAAAGTTATGGATTATTTCCTCCCAGGATAGAACGAATTACACACCGGTGTAGTGGTACTTCAAACCCCAGTGTTTCAGCGAACACAAAGTTCGGTAGCAAATCACACTTACTGTTGCTTTCTTTGAAGTTAAAATATGCAGAAGAAAGGAGAAGAACTCAGAAAATTCGTATGAAAATTCTGAGCAGAATAGTCTTGTATTTATAGCCAAAGTTGGGCTGAAATCTGAAGAGGTGCAACTCTTCAGAATGGCTGTTTATGCAAAACGGTCACAGCATAAATGACATAACATAAATGGCTATTTACTCAACAATAAAGAGGAAAAATAAAGAGGAAAAATTGAAGAGGGTAGTTTAATTTTCAATTACACAACTGAAAAACGGATTGGATTTAATATTAATATTTATTTTAATATTAATATTCTGTTATATATTTTACTATTAACAAATAAATTTGGTCCAAAAAATTATTCAATCAATCATTTGACCAAATCCGAAGCCGAAGCCGAAGCCGAGCCGAGCCGAGCGACGACGACGGTGTGAGGCTTGCCTTCTTCTCAACTCTTAAGAGCTAGAAGAAGAGCAATTGCTTATATACCCATAAAAAACCTCTTCCTCTTCCAATATGGGACAATGTCCCTTTGCCAAGGGGGAAAACTTAAAATTTCACTTAAAAATTTCATTTCCTCCATTTTCCATTCACCCTATTTTAAGTATACCATATAATCCCAACAATTGTCATACCATGTCATTTTTCCTTTGCGGAGAAAAAATTGAGGGAATGGGTCATCATGGACATTTACAATGTTGAAATTAAGAAAGTGTCCTTTTTAGACTTTTTATGTTTAAAAGCAAATTTTCTATGTAAAAAAAAAAGAGATAGGATCAAAAATTAAAAATAACAATTATGAATTTATTTTAGTTAGGCATCTTATTGAGATTTTAATAAGTTTTTACATATATACCTATATTTCATATCAAAAGTTATAGGTACCCGTGGCGAAAAGTTATAACACCTATGTTCGCTTCGGCTTAATATTGTTCAACGATTTGTCATTTTGATTCATTGTAGAACACAAAATCAATTTGCCCATATTGATCACAAAGTATTTGTCTTAGGCCTTATTTGTTTGCACTTAATGGAGGTCTGAATCTTAATTATTCAGATCTCATACATTAAGTGCGTTTGTTTTTAAAGTCTGAATCTTAATTAATCAGATCTTAATCATTAAGTGTGTTTGTTTTTTTACTTCACAACCACTTAATGGGTATGAATAGGTCTGTATGATTAAGATCTATAACAGAGACTTAATTTAATTAAGATGCTATCACATATTCATTATTAACTGCCGTCACCGCATACCATTATCAACTACCACCATACCACCACCACCACCACCACCACCACGCTACAATCATCCTCAATCATAGCCGCCACCATTATCGACCATCACCACCCACCATCCCCACCACTCCGACCACCATCATTCTCACCCACAATCAACGCTTATCCACCTCAACTACCATAGCTAACCACCCCATCACCTTCAACAACCACATCCGGCACTGCCCATCATTATAACCTACCACCACCTTCCTCAATCACAACTACTACCACCACCCGTCATTATTAACTATCACCACCCACCACCACCATCGTCAATCACAATCGCCACCACTACCAATCACTACTAGCTACTAGCATGAACCACCATCATCAACCAAAACTACCACCAACCATGCCCGCCTCTAGTCGGCATTCACCCGTTAGCCACACCACCAACAACTATCATAGTTTAAAAAATTACATATTTTATTGATAGAATATTAGATTAGCTAGTATTTCATTTGAATTTTATGTTTATTAATTTTCAAATAAAGATAAATTTTGTACATTCAGATGTTAAAATCAAACAGTTTTAATTATTTAGTATTCAGATCTTAATACACATCTTAATAAATTCAGATGTGTATTCAGATTCAGACGTCTTAATCTTAAAAAAAAACAAATGAGGCCTTATACTTCCTTCATTCACTTTTAGTTGTCCACTTATGATTTTGCACTCCTTTTAAGAAAAAATAAATGAAGTATGTACTTTATGATTTTACCCATAATAATGATAGTATTTTCAAAAGTCTAGAGAAATGATTTGGGGAATTAGTAGTTAATGATAAGGGTAAAATAGGAAGAAAATATTATCTTTCTCTTAATTTAATATAACAGACAAGTAAAAGGAAAATGTATTATTAGTATAGTAATAAGTAAAAGTGAACGAAGAAAGTAGTATAATTTTCTTTTTTCGATTTAAGACTCTAGGCGACCTAGATGTTAACTTTTCTTTAGTAGTTCATTGGTGAGAACTTTCCATCTCTCTCTTCACTAGGACTGTGCATGAATCGGATCGGATCGGATCGGATCGAATTTATCACATTTTGGATCGGATTTCGGATTCTAGAATACGCAATCTGAATCCGATCCGAATTAATATCGGATCGGATCGGATTTTAAAGATTGGATCGGGTCGAATTTTCAAATTTCGGATCAGATTATTATGCCTCAAAGTTGCAAACTCGTATGTATATTTTCTTTGTAAAAGAGGTAATACAGTAAAAAAAATTCATGTTTCTGCAATTACGAGAGTAATATGGTGCCAATATAGCTAAATCCATCAACTGTAAAGGTAATAATGTAAAGGAAGTAGTAACTATCCGAAATTAAAGTTTAGTATTTATACATGCCCTAATAACTTTGGATTTTGGATTGGATCTTATTAAAATTATACCAATCCGAATCCAAAATCCGAAATTTTAATAAATATAATCCGAAATTGAACAAATCGAAATCGATTCGGATTTCGGATATCCGATCCAAGTGAGCCTACTCTTTCACCCAACAGTTTCTGTCATGGGCATCACACTAATGTATTTGGCCTTGAAAACAATACCTACGAATTTTGATCTCCTTATTTTTTGTTTTGATAAGTCTGTTTGGATACTACGATTTAGGTTATAGAGTATGATAGTTAAATCATCAAACTTCCGGTTATCAAATATCCATTCCTTAATTTTTAAAAATAATTTTTACATACTTTAAATATATAAAAATATTATAAAGCACAGATTTATATATTTAAATTTATTAAATTTATGAAAAAATATGCTAGTGACAATAATATTACAAGAATAAACAAAACAGAACAAAACTGAAGGAGTAAATAGTATTTTCATCGCTTAAGTATCTAATTGGGCGGCTGTTACGCGCGACTCCATATATTTCCCTGTGAGCTCAACCGCACCGTCTCCATATATAAATACTCATCTCTCATCAATTATTCCTTTTCTTCCCCAAATACGAATTTGGCAGCAATTAGAAATTCTCTTTCTGCGTGCATACTTTCAATCGATCAAACTCGCGAAGTGCAATTATGGTTTGCGAAAAGTGTAAGTAGTATAAATTCTTCTCTTTTTCCCAAATTCCTTCATTAGCTTCTCTTATGTTAAATGCATGCTGTTACCCAAGCAATTTCTGGTACAATTGACTTAGACCTAGGGTTTGGTAAATTTGTATTCTGCAGGTGAGAAGAAGTTGTCCAAGGTAATTGTGCCCGATAAATGGAAAGAAGGTGCCAGTAACACTACTGAAGGCGGCGGCCGTAAGATTAACGAGAACAAACTCCTCTCCAAGAAAAAAAGGTTACTTTTTCTTTTTTAATTTTCTTTTTTGGCTAATCACTTTATGGATTTACCAGGTTAGCTCCTATTTTTACCAGATAACCAATAAATGATTATCATAAAGTGCCTGTAATTACCTTATAAGTGACCTGGTTGCCTAAATATTTTTTTACACCATCCGTACATAGAACTTAAACTCATTACTTATACTCATCGTCCTGATAGTGAGCTCCTTAAGTATTATTTTTTATTCACCTTCGACCAATTGTAAGAGGAAAAGAAACTAACTGAGATAATATGCTTGCTTTCGTCTAGGAATATTTGATTTAAGAGTGACGCCGGTTTGTTGAGACTCGTTTTGCTACTTGATACATATCAAACTTTCATCAATCATAACTCAATTCCTATCTTCTCTAGTCGGAATTCTAGTGAACTAAGAGAGTCAGGTTTTTTGTAATGCTGGTCAGAGAAACTGATTAGCTGTGGTCAATCGAAATTGCATTGTACATCCAGAATAGTCCTATGAAGACATGATCCCAGGCCGATGACATGTACCCCAATAGCCTGTTGTGGGTTCGTTTAGATCTGATTATATAAATTCTTTCTTAGTTAGTTTAATTATAAATGATAATGTTTTGGGTACTTCTTTTAATAGAAAATATTAGGAAAGTATTGAATAGGTGATATGGGAGAGGACAGAACCCAAAAGTGTGTATCCGGGTTGGCCCGGTGGCGATAGACTTGAGCCTTGGGGTTTGCTCCCTTTCAAGGTCTCAAGTTCGAAACCCACTGGGTGCAAACAATTTCTGAGGGCCATCGGACTGGGTAAAACCTGAATTAACCGTGGTGCACTTGCGGGAAACTCCTTGCCGAGGGCCTGTGCACCCCCGGGATTAGTCGGGTCTCTTAGAGACTCGGACACCCGGTGCAAATAAAAAAGAAAAGAAAAAAAAGAGAAGTTCAAGTTTTTGTTTCATTTCTTTTTCTAATTTTTAGTTGCAGTTGCACACACTAACATACACAACGGATACTTGAGCTTTTTAATCTTTGAATTTTCTGAGTTGGATTCACTTATGCTAACTCTAAGGTTGCAATCTTGTGTTTTAGGTCATTTAGACTGAACTATACTACAGTTTCATATAGTATGAGGATCCAGTTGTCTTATTTAAGAGGTATCCGATATAAACAACAAGAAGTCTTCCTGCTGTTTACTCATGTTATTGGCACCTTCAATGTTGGAACTGATGATTTGAGCGAAACATAAAAAGGTCTGCTTAAATTACTGTAGTAAAAGTCTAGAGGATCTAAGGAAATCATTTTTAATACCGTATAGGATAGAGATGTAAAGAGATGTGGTGCTGGCAGAATGGTCACTGCAAAAAGACAAGACTAGTAAATAAATGAATGGTCAGTGCCTATGGTAAGTTATTGGGTCTCTACCAAAGATCATAGAAGCTTGGCTACCATGTGAAAATAGGGAAAAAGGGAGAGGGAGACTAATTGAATTGGGCTATTGACACAGAAACGATCATTCTGTTGAAAAGTTTATCTTGTAAATCCTTTTTTCTTTATAACTGTTGAGTTTGAAAAGTTTGTGGTCAGTACTCGCATCACTTCCAAAATTCTTGCATGTCAGGGTTGAGTTGTGGTTGTAGTCCATTAGCAAGTTCGATTTCAAGACCCCTTCCCTACACAAGATTGGTGAAGATAGTCCCTTAGCTGAGACCTGCTTTAATTTTGTGAGAGATGAGTGGGGGAGTAGTGGCATATTGAAAATAAAGTAAAAAAGAATTTCTGGATCATGACATCAAAATGCAACTCAAACCACAAAAAGAAGAAAGACAAATTCAAATGTTTAACATTTGACTATGAGTTTTCGAAATAGTTTTAACTATGAATAGTTGTGATTCACCTTACTTTTAAGTAGCAAAAAAGATGCCTTTTTGTCTATTTGCTTGTACCTATTCAGTAAATTTGGTTTTTTTCCGGAGATTGTTTGTGCCATGTGATGATTAACTACCTTTGCTTTTCTTCTAAAATCTTGAGATGCTAAAGCGCTGTGTGGTTTCCGGAAGGCTCTATTATTCGTTAATTATAATAAAAGAATGTATAAAGACCATGAGAAATGATTAGTTATTATATTTCATTTTTTCTGTGTAGACCAATGGCTTAGGTTGATAATGGGAAAATCACCTTGGGTAAACTTATTAGTGTTCTTTCTGTAGGTTTTGTTGGTCACTGCTTCAAATTTCGTTTCTCGTGATTTTTTCCCCATTATTCCATAGTAAGATTCTGTGGATAAGACTGTAGCTCATTCAGATGTTCTTCTGTATTATTTAGAACTTCGCTATTTTCCTGACTTAAGTATTCGACAATGTTCATCTACAATCCAAGGGTCATGTGCTCGAAATTGAACAGCTGCACATTTATTTAGTAATAATTTTTGTTTATAAAAACATATATAGGACAAGGTGATTCTCCGGGAGTTTCTTTGTATGAGACATGGAAATCCTGATGGAGCCCCGCTTGTGGAGTAAGAGAAAGAATGCAATTTACCACCTAGCATAGAGTATTGGATCAAGTAGGCTTCTTTTTTTGATGAAGTAAGATAATATCATTGAAAGGGCATCAGGAGGATGCCAAATTACAAGAACAGAAATTATGTTAGCTCCCGTACAAAAGACAAAAAACATTGTAAGCTCCAGTACAAGTACCTATGCTAGAACCAGGGAGCTAACAAAATCCAAAAAAGTGTCAACGCAATTAACAAGGGAAAGAAAGTTCCAACTGAACAAACTAACTAAACATCTAGCTTTTAGGGAATGTGTTGGAGTTGATATTCCATCAAAACATCTGCCGTTTCTTTCCTTCCAAACAATCCAAAATATGACTGCAGGGATCATTCTCCATATTCTTTTGATGGCTTTGTCAACTCTCCAAAAAATCCAGCTAATATAGGCTTCCTTGATGGTGTGAGGCATGATCCAAGTTATACCAAAAATGGATAGGAAGAAGTTCCAAATATCAGCAGTGACTGGGCAATGAAGAAACAGATGGTTAACATTTTCTGATCTCTGTTGGCACATATAACATTTGTTGACTAAAGTAATGCTCCTTCTACTAAGATTGTCCTGTGTTCAGGGTTATTAAAAGCGAGCGCTTCTCGCTTAAAGCGCTGAGGCGAGGCGCAAGGTCTGCGCTTTTCTGACCTAAAGCGAGGCATCTGAAAAAAAGCGAGCGCTTCAGGCAAAAAAGCGAGGCGAGGAAAAAAAGCGAGAAAAGCTCGCTTAAGCGAGGTCCAGCTGCTGCCTACGGGTTTTTTTCTAAAAAAATTTACAAATACACTTATGCACCTTTCTTCCAAAACATTTCTCGCTACTACTACAAGCCAAAACATCCTGCGACATCTCTTCTTCAGTTATTTTCTTATTCTCTCAAGGTAAGTTTCTCTTCTCTTCCTCTTCCTCTTCTGCTTTTCTCTAGTTTACCTGCTTCGTCTCGACTCCTCTCCTCGTTTCTCGTCTTCTCTTTCTCTTCTTCTTTTCTATTTTTTTCAGTTCTTCTTTTCTCTGTTCTGCCCTGTTTCTAGTTATGCTACTGCTCTGTTTTTTTTCGAAAACTTTTGTTCACTGGTTCTGCCATGTTCTACCAGTTCTTTTTTTTTTTTTTTTTGCAGTAAATTTTATCTCGTTATCCAATAGCATCAAGCCAAAATAAAGATCCAGCTTGGGCGTATGGAGTTGCAATTGGCAGTAGCACAACAGTCCAATGTTATTTTAAGAATTGAAATATTTGCTTAATATGTTATGTTTATTGAGTTCTCGGTTATTTATCTATGCCTATTTAATATTTTTTATTTATGTATTAAATTGCGCTTCACATGAAAAAAAGCATGCGCTTCGCTTTCCGCTTCTCGCTTTTTTCCGCTTCTCGCTCTCCAAAACACTGCCTCTGTTGAAACAGCTTCATTGAGGGCAGTCCATGTGAGGCATGCTACTTTGAGTGGCATTCTGGTCCTCCGGACATGTATCCAGGGCCAATCCTCTAGTATTCCATTATGTGAGCAGATAAGGTTGTAGCCCTCTTTGACTGTGTACTTTCCTTCTTTTGAATTCCCCCAGATGATTCTGTCTGGTTGTTGATCTTCCATGATGAAATCTCCCAGTGTGGCTAAGAGAGCAAGTAAGTCATTGATTTTCCAATCTTGAAGATTTCTTCTAAACACTGGATTCCAAATGGTGTTCTCTCTGTTTTGAGCAATATTTGAGTCCTGATTGCAGGCTATTAAGAATAGACCTGGGTATGAATCCTTTAGTGTTGTATTACCAAGCCATATGTCTTTCCAGAATTTCACATGAACACCACTACCAACTCTGAATGATGTATTCTGAAAGAAATCATTTTGAAAGCTGTTGATGTGTTTCCATAAACCCACACATGAGGTGCTGGACTTTTCTTGGGGATCCAGTGATTCTGAATTCCATATTTGGCGTCAATGATCTCCTTCCAGTAACCTGCTTCAGTTTGTCCATACCTCCATAGCCATTTCATTAGCATACATTTGTTGTGAAGCCTAAGATTCCTTATACCCAATCCCCCATAAGACTTTGGTTGAGTTACTTTTGGCCATCTAACAAGTGAAAATTTGTGAGTCTCACTGTTTCCTTCCCATAAAACCTTCTTCTTAGCCGGTCTAGTTGTTTCAAAACTGAGCTTGACATAGGAAACAAAGACATGTAATAAGTTGGTATGTTGTCAAGGACACTACTGATCAGTGTGAGTCTGCCCCCCATCGAGAGATATTGCATTTGCCAGGTTGCTAGTCTCTTTTCAACTTTTTCAATGACTCCATTCCAAATTCCAGTGGATTTGAATTTGGCTCCCAGGGGGAGTCCTAGATAAGTTGTGGGGAAGGAGCCAGTTTTGCAGCTAAGTATTTCAGGTAATTCCTCCAAATTTTGAACCTCATTCACGGGATAAATAATGCTTTTAAGCATATTGATGTGTAGCCCAGACAATGCTTCAAAAATGAGTAAGATGAGGTTGAGATTGATTACTTGTGACCTTTCTGCACCACAGAAGATCAATGTGTCATCTGCATATAACAGGTGTGATACATTGACTGAATTTGCAGGATTTCTCCCAACCTGAAAACCTTATATCCATTGAAGCTCCTTTGCCCTTCCTAGCATCTGCGAGAGACCCTCCATTGCCAATATAAAGAGAAAAGGAGAGAGTGGATCTCCTGGCCTGAGGCCTTTTTGAGGAGAGAAGAAACCTACAGGACTTCTGTTAACCAACACGGAATATTTCACAGTTGATATGCAGAATTTTATCCACCTTATCTACCTATCTCCAAATCCATCTTCTTTAAGATGTTGATGAGATATGCCCAACTCAGTTGATCAAAAGCTTTTTTAATGTCTAATTTGCACAGCAAACCTGTTCCACCACTTTTGATTCTCCAATCCAAGACCTCATTGGCAATCAGGGAGGCATCTGTGATTTGCCAAAAAACACTTTGTTGCCCAGAGATCAACTTGGCAATGACCTTCTTTAATCTTTCAGCCAAAATTTTTGCAGCTATATTGTAAACACTCCCTATTAAACTGATAGGTCTATAGTCCCTTAGTTCTATTGCTCCTTTCTTTTTGGGGATAAGAGCAATAAATGCAGCATTGCAGGATTTGACCATATGACAGCTATGATAGAAGTGATTGAGAGCCTCCATGATATTTGTTTTAATAAAGTCCCATGCCTTTTGAAAGAAGGCCACAGTGAACCCATCGGGGCCTGGTGCTTTATCAGGAGCACAAGACTTTAAGGCTGCCAAGACTTCTGATTCCTCAAAAGGTGATTCTAGATCAACACATTCATTTGCAGATACTGAGGGTAACCCCTCAAACTCTGCGACCCTCAAACTCTGCGAAGTAGGCCTTCTTTTAGACCATAAAATGAATAGTTCAGAAATCTCAAATGACAAACCAGAAATCATTGTGTTGCAATACTAAAAGTAATAATCAGATAGCTGAACTAGAGGGGGTCAATTGGTTTTTTGTCAGTTACAATCTTTTTAGTTTTACGTCAAATCTCCTAGGAGATCTTTATTTTTACACGTAAGAGATCTAAAATAAAATACAAGAGATCTTTGTAGGGTCATTTTCTTCTATTCAAATTGCAATGGTTTATGTTAAGCCATTTCCGCACTTAGTGCTCTAAAGTGCTTGTTTTGTGTTAATGCAACAAATATCATTCTTTAGTTGTCATCATCCTATGGTAATTTGTTGCGCTGAATGAAATGCTTTGTATGACTTTGTTGGGATATCTACTGCACTTTGATTATGATTAGTCTTGGGCATTTGCTATGCTCTTGACATTGTCTTACGAGAGAACTGGTTGTATTGCAGGTGGACACCTTATGGAAATACAAAGTGCATGATTTGCAAGCAACAAGTGCATCAAGATGGCAAGTACTGTCATACCTGTGCTTATAGTAAAGGTAATGAAGAGTAGTTTGGAATTGCACATGATTTATATCATTGTAACGTTTCCTTGTGTTCTCTCTGAAGTGTTCTTCTTGTGCAGGAGTATGTGCAATGTGCGGAAAGCAAGTTCTTGACACCAAGTTATACAAACAGAGCAATGTATGATGTGGACATGAACGATCTAACTTCGCTGTTACCTCAGCACTCTTATTCTAGAGAACTGTTCTTTCTTTGTGAATGCTATCAAATGTGACGAGAAGCAGTTAATTCTGTATAATACTTAAAGAGCTGCAGTGATTGAGGAGCGAGAAATTGATCTTTGGAAGCATTAATTTCAGTCAGTCTTCACTACCAATCAAAAAAAATATATATAAAAAAATCAGACAGTCTTCATAATTGATTCTTTTGTGCTTTGGTCTCTCCTACCTTTTCCCCACTGTCTATTGTATTGACAAAAGGTTGGATTGTCATCGGTACGTATCCTGAAAGGTTTAAGGGCAGTGCTCTTAGTTCTGTAACAAATTTTGTGAAAAGTTGTGGCTTCTGAGCAACCCGGATGGTTTGAATCTTGTTTGCAGTTGATAAATAGCAACGGAACTAAAATATTAGGCCAAATACATAGACAGGCACCGGAACTTGGCACCGATTTTCACATGGATGTGCAGTTTGGCTCTTTCCTATCAGGCACGTGAACATCTTTCCATATGTGCCAATTAAACACAGACTGCTAACTTGTAATATAGCGTGATTTTAAACAAAAATAAGCGCGTGAAGGTTGATTTTTTTGCTGACATGGAGGATTCCAACGGTAAAAAGCGGATTCTTTATAATCCCTTCCCCTAACCCGAAAATCTACCGTAGTTTTCCCTCCCCCAAAAAAACCCTAGGTCGTCTCTAACATTTCTTTCTTTCTTTTTTCTTTAGTGACTCGATGTAATTGGCAGTGGATTCGTCTGGTCTGATTTCGCAAAAGACAATGAATTCACTCAATGCTCGATTGAAAACATCATGGTTAGAGAGAAACCAGGTCGTCGATTTTATCGCTGCAAAATTGACGAAGTAAGCACATGAATTTATCGTCGCCGTTGAATTGTTCTTCATTAGTTGCTGATTTTACAAATTGTATCTGTTTTTGGTCTATTTTTTGCAGGAGAAAGGTGGATGTAAATTTTTTATGTGGTTTGAACCTCAATTTCCAGATCAAGCTACAAGGGTGATATCGGGGTTGTTGAAGAAGGTCAAAAAGAATGATGCAACTGAACTTAATGCTAAAAGGTGGAAAAAATGTTACCTGGTGTTAGTTATGATACTTATGTTGTTGGTTTGGAATGGTATTACTGGTTGATCGTATTAGCTACGATAACAACACATTGTATTCGGTATGACTGGTTGTAATTGGGACATAAATTGTACCCAAATTTTGGACTATGTATTCATTGGTGTACTTTACATTGCTTAATTATTTTTGACTGCCGCAAGAATTGTATAGATTGTATTGATAAACGATGCCAACACAAGACAAAATACAAGCGTATGAAGGTTGGAAACATATATATATATATATATATATATATATATATATATATATATATATATATATAAAAAAAACCAAGCTCATAAAGAGCTACAAAATGGGTTGTTCATGATGCCAATATAAGACCAAAATACAAGAGCTAAAGCACAAGCTAATCATGTAGCCACCAATACAATACCAAAAGGCCATGCCAAAATAAAGTTATTTTTCAAGAAGTCATTACTACATGTCCAAATAATTAACTAAATAAGCACCTAAATCATATTAAACAATGAAGTCACTTGGTTCCACTCCTTTGGCTTGATAGAAAAGATGAGGATGTGCCTTTTTGACTGGAAGTCTTTGTATTCCTTGATGCACTCATCCGCTGGAGTTGGTTAGTTGTTACTGCTTGTCTGCCTTTCCATTTTAGATCAGGCGGCTTAAATCCAATATCTATATTGGTTTCAGCTGTATTCTTCAGAGGCCTCCCATGTGATAGCACTCTTTCATATGGATTACCAGGCTGAAAAATATAGATATTAGTCACAGTTAATATGAAATGTAAAATAACATTTGCTTCAAATAATTGTTGCTTCACTCACAGTGTTTGTATATATCCCAAATCCTGCAGGTCTTGGCCTCTTTTGTCCAATGTTAGAGGATGTGCCTTCTTGACTGGTTTCAGATCCTCTAGAAGCAGCTCTTTATGATGCTCCCTTTCTTAAGCCAATACCTCTCCCTCTTCCCCTTCCACTGCCTACACCAGTTGATTATATTGGATTACTTCTGGTGACATCAGTTGTATCATCACAAATTGAAGATTGAGCAGGTTGTCTTTGCTGTCTTGGCTGCCCCATAGCAGGCTGCAATGTTAACACCAAATAAATGATTGAGTATTAAATTGTAAAATACTATTAAACTTATGTGAACAACAGATTACCTCTGTTTTGCAGGCTCTCTTGTTGTGCCCTACTTGATGACATTTTGAACATGTCATCTTCACCCCTTTCTTGGACAGTTTGCCATACTTTGCCTTTTGGGCTCATACTTTGCCTTCCTCCTACATCTTTTTGGTCTACCCAACATTGGTTTTGGCTCTGGAGGCTCAATAACCGGATTATTGATTCTGGCCACATCTTCATATTGGGCATGGGTTGAAGAAAATACTTGTAAGCCTTTAGAAATGTTTCTTTTCTATACCAAAATTTTACATTGTTCTTGCTCTTGTTCCAAGTGATAGTATGAACAAACAACATGTTGACATGGTATTCCCCTCAACATCCATGATCTATAAGTGCAAGTTTTTGCCATCAGATTAACAATAAACCTCTTATCACCTTCTTCAATCTCAAAACCATCATTAAAACTTACTTTACATCTCCTAGACAATTCCTTGTTCTCCTCTAAAATCATCCTTGCCATTGGTGAAATGTCACTTATCCAAATCTCAACAAAGTTCCTCATGTCATTATTCCTACTCAGTATCTTATGTCTAATTAACTCCAACATTGTTACAATTGACTCATGTCTAGGTCCAACTATCCAAGAGTTAAAAGTTTCACACATATTGTTCTCAACAACATCACATTTAGAAAACACACTAAAGTAAGTCTTGCACCAATATTCTTTATTGTACTTCAATAAGTCTTCACCCTATTTAGGGCCACCAAGTAAACTCAAAGCATGTAACTCTTCCCTGAACTTTACCTCATATGTTGATTTGGCACATCTTCAGAATTGGTTTCTTCTTTCTTCACCTCTCCAGTTTTGAGCCCAGCTGGACCATATATGTCTTGCACACATTCTGTGTTCTGCAAAGGTAGTAACTCTACAATTGTTGGGACAATTTCCTGCAATAACAAGTAAAAACAGACCTAAAAATGAATGAAGTATGAGTAAATGAAATATAACATCAATTTAAAAATAGAAATACATCACCTTTTGCATGTCTGACATCAGTGTTAAGCCAATTCCTTCTCCCAGATCCAAATATGATTTCAGCAAGTTAATGAACCATGTCCAAGAATGCTTGGTCTCTTGGTCCACCAGAGCCCATGCTATGGGAAACATCTACTGTTTTCCATTCTTTCCAATTGCCACCAATAATTCACCTTTGCATGCTCCTTTTAAAAAGCAGCCATCAAATCCAATAATCTTCCTACATCTTTCTAACCAACCCTTCTTCAAATCATCAAAACAGATGTAAAAATATACAAATAAATTCTTTCCCAGTACAGTATTTGTATCTGTTCTGATCCAGCAAGTACTCCCAGGATTAGTCTCCTTGATAATAACAGCATAATCACACAACCTTGCAAATTCCATCTTCCAGTCCCCCCATGAACTCTTGTATTACCCTACACTTAGCCCTATAACAAACAATTCTTCCAACATACAGACCAATTTTATCTCTGATATGATCTTGTAACTCCCACAGGTTTATACTAGGTGTGGATATGATTTTCCCCTAAATTTGTGAGTAATGTATTGAGACGTGCACAACCTATTCTTGGTGTACTTGTTGCATTTTGTGTTGTGGATGGTACTTCTTCACAGTGAAGTCACCAGAATCTCTGTCTTTGCTAGAATACACTGTCCATTTGCATCTGCTAGTTCTGCACTTCACAAGTACTCTGTGGATCTCACATTTGGTTTTAATTTCAGCTGCACCTTGTACTCAATAGCATAATTGGTCATTACCTTCCTAAACTCTATAGCATTTTCAAAAACCATCCCAAGTTCAAAAACAGTAACTTCACATTTAGGATCATATCTAACCTTTTTGCTTCTTCTTCTAGCTGGTAAATCAACACCCCTTTTAGATTCAACATCTAACTCATCCTCAGAATCGTCACTTCCAAGGTCTGAACTACCAAGATAGTCTTCATCCCTACCTAAGTTCCCTGCATATTTGTCTCTCTTATTTATTCCAATGTCTTCAAACCCTTTATCTAGATCAGCTTCTCCTATTGGTACTTCATGTGTTGTAGTAGGTTTTTTTCTACTCTTTTTTTGTTGTTTTTACTCTTTCTTTAATTTCTTAGTTCTCTTAGCTCTTCATCAACCTCAATATCATCTACATCAGGTATGACATCCAATTCAGACTCACTACTATCCAGATCTGATAGAACATCAAGATCTGTTGTGTCTTCAATCCCATCTAAGTCTTCAAAAACTACAACATCTTTTAGTGTCAAGCCCTCTATTGTTTGTGCCCCTTCAACCACACTTAGGTTATCTTCAGCAGGTCTTTTTGTATTTATACTGTTTGACCCAACATGTGCCGCCCCAGACCTAATAATTGAAAGGTTATCTTCAACATCTGCCCCGCTAGTAGGACCACTTGGGACCACCCCTTCCACTACAACAGGGTCACTAATAACATGCTCAATAAATAAGTCCAAATACTGTAAAGGTTTAAGAGGAGAGAGTCATTTTCCAACAAAACAAAGTCTTTTTGTCTCTTGGTTCAAAATATAGAAATCAACAATAGTATTGTACCCAAGTTCTTCAGAATAAAACTGCAATTCGACCAAGGAAAAATAATCTTTTTCAATGCCGTAGATGTCCACGTCTCTTTCACCTATGTATTTGGGCTTGACTTCATTGGTAAAATTACCACCATGGTGAAATCGGGCTTGAATAAATTCTCTAGACATGACAAATATTTTACACTGCAAAACAAAAGAAAAAGACAAACACCCCAGGTCAGATTCTCTCAATCGAACAAAAAAAACCCTAGCTTTTTAGGGAAAATTTCAAAATCACCACTATAACTATAATAATCATAAATATAAACAATATACAAGCTTACCTGTACTTAAAAACCTTGATTATTTCTGAAAAGTAGTAGCTCATTAACATGGGCTTCTAGATTGTATACATGCAACCGGCCTCTCAACAAATACCTCACTTCACAGTCGGATAAACAATGAACTACACTTGTAAGGATGGAAGAAAATTGAAATCGAACACTAATTGACCTACAAATTTTGGGGTTTTACGGTGGGAGACGACGGGGAGATGTGTAGTGGTAAAATGTATAGAGGGG